CGATTAAAGACTCTCGAATTGATCAATCATCGGTCGATAGAATTCAATATATAAACCAAAACAATATGTATAGTCGGATTCCGATGTACAGAGGGTTCAGATTGCGGCAGCGGTTGGGCACCACCGGCTCCATTCTGAGCTATTTTGCAGCTCCTCAGTTGAGAAGAAAAGCTCAGAATTCATGGGCTGCGGTTCAGGATACGTATTTTTCTACCAAGGTACTGCTGCTTTTGTTGCTTATTTTACAAATGATTTTTTTTCTTTCTCTGCAAGTTAGGGTTTTTTTCCCCTCTTCTTTTGAGAATTTGGAATAGGAGATATTGAAGGGTTTTTATTTTTATTTTTATGCAGGACATATTTGAGAACCATAAAGTGGTGTTTACAGTATCTACTTCAATAGCATCTGTTGCAACGGCATGGGCTGGTATTCACCTCACTGGTTATTCCATTTTGTTTTCCTCAAATGTTATCTGACCAAGATATGTAGACAAATTATTGGTGCTTTCTGGTGTTGATTGATAAAGATTACTGAATACTCTGTATTATATTCTATATTTCCTTTTTTTCTTTTCTTGTCATCTGGTTGAGCGGATGAGATACTGAGGATATTTAGAGCTAGTGCAGGTTATTTATTACGCGAATATCATCAATCAAGAATTGACCAGCGGCTTGATTCTATAGAAAAATCTGTAAGTATGTATGGTGGATTGATAGTCTTTTACTCTATTAGCTATACCTGTTTGCTCTCGTGAAGCACTCGCTCAAAATGGATGTGCAAATGCATAGTATATTGGTATGCATGTAAATGTGTTTTTGTGTTTCACCATGGACTTAATAACACACTTTTGTGTATGCTTTGATCTCTGAATTTGAATTTGAACAAAATTTTGATTAAAACAACATGGAAGACTTGATGAGTGAGTTCAACTTGAGGGAGTGCCACATGCTACTTATTAGTTTTGCTAGTAGTGCAGCTGGCTTTGTTCTCTCTTGTGTTTTAAAGGATTAGTTAACATCATATTTCATCCTATAAAGTCTTGCGTTATGTTGTCCATTTATACTATTAAGATGGAAGAAACAGCCAAAAGCCCGATAACAAGAAGGGCATAATTAAAAAGTTTTTCCCTTTTAAAAGGAGTAAAAAACTCATGTTCCCTCTCAATCACATCCAATGTTAAATGTTACAAATACTTTTGAGATGAGCTATATAATGACAATCACCCACTGGGTTCTCTATTAAGATTTTATGGCATGCTTAATCATCCAAAAAAACAAAATAATTTATGAAAATCTTTTTTTAAAAGACTGCATATCTTGATCAGCATATCTTCAAATAGAAATATATCAGGTAATTTGTAAACAAAGTGTAATGACATTTTTTATTGCAGGTGAAAACAAAGTATGATATCAATGATCCGGAGTTTAAGAAGCTTGTTTCAGGCGGCATCAGCGTTCCAGCATGTGTTGCAACTGCTGGAACTACTATGATTATTGGGTTTGTGCAAAAATAGATCACAATTTGTTTTTCTGTTTTAATTTCCTCCTATATAGGTGTTTACATTTCATATCTAATGTGCTTCTGCCATCCTTTGCATTTGTATATAATTGTATAGTACATTTAAGATAAAAGTTCATTAAAAAGGTCAACATGATTTGAGTTGTACACATGTATTGGTACATTGTCTAAGTGACAGCCCCCCCCACAAAGGAAGGGTGTTAGATTTACTAAAATGCAAATACACATTCCTGTCAAACCATAATTCTCATCTCTATTACTCCGTACTTTTTATTAGGAGTTAACAGCCAAACATGTTTTGTTCTTGCAAGCTAATGTTTTGCTTTTCTGTTCTCTCCATAATATTCTTTGAAATTCATTGAGAATAAGGGGTTTCCTTTTGCAAGTGCAGCTACAGCTTGGGTTGGCGAGGAGGAAAGTGGTTTGCGAACAAGAAGTTTAAAAGGGAGCAGATGAAACTATTGGGACAAATAAAACCCAGAAGGTGGCCTCTTAGGTTACCCCTATCCAGATTAAGGCTGCGAGGGAGCGGTGGTGCTAATGCTCCAGAAACACCGCCGGCATCTGGTTTTGCAGCCACAAAAAGTTCAGGACCAGCCTGTAATTGCTCTCAAAACAGAGTGTAAATGATGGCTTCATTCTTTTCTTGCTGGCCATGGCTTTCGAAAGATTAGCCGATTAGGTAACCCCTTATTTTGTCTATATCAAAACGTTGTAATCTTACCATCTCTACTGGAAATAGTAGTGTTGAACAGATTTTTCTTATCATTGTTTTCGGATTAAATGTAATTTTCTTGAAAAACAATAGACATGTACTACTGGTTGTTAAGCAATTTTAAATGATTTTATGTTTCATTAAGTTGTGGCGCCTCTTCGTCTCTAGATGCAAGACAAGGATCAAGCTTCAGTGTCGTTTTCAATTTATTTTATTCAAATAAGAGTTTATTGCACGCATACCATCAGTGGTTTGGTAAATATGTCTCATGATTTTAAAACTTACGTCATTGCCCCTCATGGTTTCGATATAGTTACGTTAATGCCCCTCTCGACAAAAACATCTTTCAAATATTAGGTGAGTGACTCTTTGCCTCCTGTGGTTTTGGAAATGAGCGTTATTACAATGTGGTATCTGTTCATACTTGTTCTCAATCTAATGGCACAGAGATTCAATGCATTCGTCTTTGTTGAGACTCGAACCTTGATGAATTTTCCATGAACCTAGGGGAGTGGACTTTGTACTACTCAAGCTAGAGGAAAAGTTCACAAATATAGATGATATGATTAAGCACCTTATGTTTTAATTTAAATCATCTGTTTTGATTTACGATGTTGAAATGAAATTATTTTAAAAATAATTTATTTGATAATTGGGGTGGAAATAAAAAAATTACTCCCTATACATTTAAAAATTACGTGACATGAGTATTGCGGAGTATTTAATTCAACAATTGATGAAAATAGAGGAAAAAATGAATGAAGTGTGACTTTGTAAATAATAAATAGAAATCTTAATCTGAAATGGAAAAAGTTATATTTTAATAAATGATCAATAAAAGTATGAGAATAGTAAATTTTGTAGAAAGACATGGTGCTTTTCTTATCACCAAAACTTCAGTTTTAGAATATCCAAATTAGCAAAAATATATATTTCCTTGTCTTAAAATAATGTTCTCATTTCGGATTACGAGTACGATATTTGACAGAAATTATTTTTAATTCAATTTATATAAACATTGGTGTAGAATTAATAACTAAAACTTATATGTATTTAAAAACTATTTTAAAATTCTAAAAAATAAGTGGGGATAACAATATTTTTTAATCAAATAACCAATAAAAAAATATATCAAAATTGAGTATAATTTGGTCATATAAATTAAAAATGACTATCATTTAGGACTCCATACATGTCAAGGATGGCTTTAGATGGTAGAAATCATGATATCCACACATAAGCCCAAAAACATAGGCTCAAGAAAAGCTCAACCATGCAAAATTAGAGGCCAAACCATCCACAAGAATTCCCTATAAATTCACTCTCTTCATCTCCCCCTAAAACAATAGCACAAAAAGAGTGTATACATTCACTCTCTTCCTCATACTTTTCATAGGCATACCCCAACATAAAAAATGGACATTTCAAGACAAATTCTTGTGACATTAGTCATGACACTACTTGTTTGCTCTGTCTTCGTCAACAAATCGCATGCGCAAGGGAACGCTCCTCCTCAGGGTTCCTCGGCCGAAGCCGCTGCTGGCGGGGCTGTTGCCGGTGAAAATGATCCGGTGGCACAAGGCGCGGGGGCGGAGGTTGAAGAGTTCACGCCGGAAGTCTTTGTTCTTGGACACTAATAATTAATTGAATACCATTTATTTGGTTAATTTAAAGTTTGTATCCATATTGCCATTACTCCTTTTCTAGTTTTCTTCTATATATGACCAGTGTTGTAAAGTTACTTCTTCATTGACATAAAAATGTGAAATTTGCTTGGGATAATAAGACTACAACATTAGTCCATTTCTTCAAATAAGATAGCTAGTCATATTTTTTTATTTTAAAATATGATTTAATTAATTGCATTGCTTAATTAAATATCTCAACCATAATTCCTTTCTTTTCCTTTGTTGAGTCGCCTACATCTTACAACAGGAAAATTATTACATGCACTTAAGGTCCATGGTAGACATTCATATATGCTAAATAAACATTTTCAAGTGTTCAAATAAGCATTTTTAAAATTTAAAACAAATATGTGAGAAGTTTCAAATCCACTATAGAATCACTCCTTACAACAATGCCAATCTTTCTAAATTAGAGTCCATGTAAATTATAGGCTTATCAAAAGGACATTTTGATCTTCTTTCTAGCATTCCTCTTCACAATAATATCTAATCGATTGCGGAGTAATTAACAATAACATATAGTAGTATATCAAAAAAGTAGCTATATCACTAACGAACTAATATTTATACTATGTTTGGTCCAAGGAATTTGAAAGCAAAAATAAAACAAAATGAGATGAAAAACATTTTTTTCATAATTAAAGATAGAAAAGTAAAGTAGAAAAGAAAAAGCAAATAAGAAAGCATAATATACTAAGAGAGAGAAAATTCCTTCTATTTTAATTAGGAAAATGAATGAAATTATTTTTCTCCACATTTTATTTGCCAATATAATGGGGGTTGGTGGTGTGNNNNGGTGCGGGGGTGGGGCCGTACGTGGGGGCAGGGGTGTGGTGGACAGGAGTTGGGTGGGGACCTGGACGGGTCGGGAAAAGAAATTTTCCTTTGAAATCAAATGAAAAATATTCTCCTTGTTCTTGTAGAGAAAAAAATATTTTCCTATCATTTAAATTACCAAACAGAGGAAATTAGAATATAAATTTTCTGGGAAAATATTTTCTCTCCAACCAGAACCTACCTCCTTTTTCTTCTAAATTCCTTGAACCAAACATAGTGTTAAGCACCCAATGTTTGTGTGTATACAGTTAGTTCATATTGATTAGGACTGCATTTATTTCATATTATATATAGATAAATGTTTGTGTGTATACAGTTAGTTCCTCACACAACAATCACCCCCCCCCCCCAATTTACAATACACATTACAAACATCACATTTTATACCTTGCACATTATTTGCTTACCTAATAATGTAGAGAGAGAGTACAATTCAGACACTTAATTGGTGCAACCTATACAATATATGCATCAAGGGACGACTTGGCAAGCCACAGCAGGCCCGGATCGTTTCTTCTTAGGACAAAGAAATCCTCTCTTCTCCCCTTTTCGTCAATCAAGCTTTCCTCTTTGAATCCAATCAAACCTAGGACATCAATGGCTACTGCAGTATGTAGTCACAACAGGAAAAAAAATAAGGGATTCCACAACTTACGTTTGTTAAGGGTATGCTCATATTAATCCATACGTTCAAAATTAAAAATGTTCGTTTCAAATGTTTTTTTGTCCCAAAAGGTCATTCGCTGCATATGATAAGGTTTCGATTTTCGTTTGTCGAAATAAGTACTAACAAACAAGACAAACATGATCAGTTCAGTCAGACAAATGTGACTCTCCTTTGGGAATTTTTCCTTGGGAGGCAAAGAAAAGCAGAAAATGAAAGCGGAAGAAATAATTGGAATGCCATGCAATCTGCGTACCTTTATAGTGCAACACATCTCTCTTGATTATAGGATTAGACTGCACCATAATACAAGAAGATAGAGAGTAATAAATATTTCTGGAAACAAGCACAAGATCCTTATTATTCGCGTGTTTACAAATTTTATGTACCTTCCTTAGCTTTTTGAATTTATCTTCATTCCGATGTTCAATCACATTCCTGCAAAGTGCAAACAATCAGGTCAGACGCCTGTGTTAGAATTCATCAAAAACACTTTCCAATTTGTATTCTCTGTTTGGACCCCAGAAAACTCAAGTGAAAGAAAACTGAGGGAAAATACAACATAGATTCAAGCTCGATAAATATATTTTAGATATTTGATCAAACTCTTTTTATTAATTTATTCAAGATCGATCATTTTACTTATACTTGTAAAGTGAAAAATAATAATAATCATATCTCCAAGGCAAAACCGAATACTCTGTATAAGAAAATAGCTTAGCTTTTTTTGTCCTTTCCTCATTGTGTGTCGGGATTCAAATATACCCTTAATAATGTGTAAAAATGGGAATAAGATGAAGTTTTTGATGGTTTACTTGATGATTCTAATCAAAGTTTGCAGTACTCTAACAGCATCTGAGGGACTAGCTTGAGCTTTTAGTTCTTCAACTGCTCTATGCAAATTGCTGCAAACCATGTTCACAGGGTCTTGTATCCGCAGCAATTCCTGGTCATCGGGATCAGGCTCATCAGTTTGAGTGCATGGACCTGTACTTAGAGTTGCACATTCTGTCAGCCTGACACTTTTGTCCTGAGATTCATCTGGACCTGAAGCATTGCAGACTTGATTCTCTTGCATTCCTTCAACACTATCTGCATCCAATGGAGGGAGAATCCTAGTGTTTTCCTGCTGGAAAACTAACTTTGTTTTGGTCTGTTCGTTTTCTTGTTCAACATCCATGTGATTTGATTCCTCAGTTAATGTAGTGCAATTGGGGGCAAAACGGTGAATGGCAGCAGCCACTGAAGACACACGTGCATCAGAAGACAAAGACTTCCCACCCAATTTTTGTGGTGAAGGAACAGAATCGTAGAACACATCATCTTCATAGTTTTGCAAGTTTTGCAAACCACTCAGGGTGTGGCTTGTTGATTTAGTCCAATCTAGAGTAGCAGCTTCCTCATTGAGCTGCAAGAATTTGTTGTTCATAATAATTTTCTCAGATAAAGAAACAATAAAGTAAATGCTCTACTTATGAGTGCTTGGAAGTTAAAACTAATATGATGAACTAATATATGGAGGCATGGAGCATAGATATAACCCTTCCTGCTGGTAAGTTATCACAATGAAGTAGACCTAGCCAGCACATAAACAAGAGAATGAATGATAAACATTGCAGATAAGCACCTGCTTATCCAAAGCGTAAAAGTTTGTATCGTGTTCAGAATGCACCATGTGCGCCTGAAAAGAAATGTAAATATAAAGTAAGAATCTCTTGCACTGAACTTAAGGAGTCACCAAAAAAGATTCCTTTTTGAGACAGTTTCTTGATTATATTTTTGGAAAACGACATGCGCTAAGGCGGGCACGTGCAAGCTTAGATAAATAGTTTTGCTTTGCTTCTTTTTAACCCTGACAAGTGAACAGCCCATGGAATTGAAATATGTACTTACAAGTTCATGCAAGAGGGTCTTCTTGATGCTCTGGTACTTCCTAAAACCCCTAAGGTCATCTGTGCGAAGGCGTAATGAAATCTCTTCTCCTTGATTCTATATGCAATTTTTTCGGACAGAAATAAATAATAAGGAAAAAACAAAAACCATATGGACAAAAGTTATAAAACTTATATCCTCACCTTGTTCAAACCAAGTAAACATTTTGGGCTCACCCCAACATATCCAATAGGAGCCATCTCTGTCATGATTCCCACGCGCCAGCGATGCTTTAAAAATCCCAAAAGATAATTTAAAACCATGGGTGTCTAATATTCAGCATGCTATGATACATTGTTAAAAATTCAAAAAATTAAACACATGTTGTTACCTTATTCATAACGGCAACAATTCCGGGATCTGCAGAAAGCTTATGCATTAGTTTCAAGGCTTCAGACGCTGGAGGATTAAGCTGCAGTCAATCCAAGACTAGGTCAACAATCAATTAGCTGTAAGTATGTTACCCGTTCAATCACTTCAGGCAGTGATAGTTCTATGGTTTTATGAAACCCTCGCATATATTACAAATATCTAAAATGTTTTTTAAAAAATTCCATTTAACGCCTTTTCTCAAGGGCAGAAATTATTGAAAACCAGTGTGAAAACAATGGCTAATTTAAGCAATCTAAAGTTGCAAAAACATGTCACGAGAAATTATGTGCATATGTGAATTAGTATTACCACTCCATATTTTATATGTCCACAACTTAACTCATATATGAAGTCAATTTATGATACATTCATTTGATAAGAAAACATGAAAATATTGTAGAAAAATGGGAGAAAAACTAACATTTATTGTGTGGTTCATAAAACAACACACCAGCACAATAGTTCATTAAACATGAAAATAGAATGTGAGAATCCGCGAGAACTTTTATCTGAGCAAGAAATACCTCAATTCCTGGAAGATGGAGTGTTTTAAAACCACAGAAGATATAATGCCCCTGTGGAAGTCTAATGGAGGCCTGGTAGGATGATCTCTGCCTCAGTCTCTTTTCTTCTTCTTCAAAACCAACAATTCTGAGGTCTTCCTTTTCTTTTTCTAAGACTTCATCCATCTCACCTTTAGGAACTCCCAACATCCTAATAGATTTTCCCTGCAGTAAAATATTTCAGAATAGCATGATCTAGTAAACATCCTAAACAAACCTTGAAGAGAAGCTTTAGTATGTCCATGGAATCTCCCTATGTAATAGGGAAAACCAAAGCACTGGTAGAAATTAATTTCTGTGCGGGAATTGAGGACACTTGTTAATGGCAAAATTTATAAAATGACTAAAATCTATGTTATGCAGAGAAGCAAACTTATGGTTAAAATAACCATTTCTCTGGCATAGTAAAGGAACAGTCTTTTGAGGAAAGGGAAAAGACCCAGAAAATTTTCCAAACAAGTTAAAATCCAATAGGAAAGGGAAAAGACCCATAAAATTTTCCAAATGGTGCATACGATATATCTCAATAATTCAGAGCTCATGACATGCTCCCCAATATTTCACCTAAGACCTTATACATAAGATTGACTAATTGAGGTAGGAAGTAAAACCCAGCACCTCAAGAATCGACGCCTCATCCAATTTCAACCAGGAGTGCTCCTTAGAAAACGGATAAATCAGCTTTGAACTTTTATCAGTGGGCACAATTAATCGCATAGTATCATCTTCAACACTTGTGAGCTGATGCATTTCATCACCCAATGCTTTAAGGGTAGTTTTGGGATCCATTTTGAGGATAAACTTCTTGCCTCTCCATGTAACAGAAAATTCAATTGCCTGATCTTGTTGATCCATAAGGAACCTGCTTAACCAAAAGAATGAAAAGATTGCCAGTTCTGAGATGAATCATAGAATAAGTCCCCAAAGGGAAGTTAACTTTGTTCGCATCTACAATTTTGTAACACTGATCACAGTGCAAGCAAAAGATTAATGTTTAAAATTGCCCCATTTTCCATAATAGGGATTGAGGAGTCTGAAGTAAACCGTTGACTTCCCCAGATAATTCAAGAATCCTCGGAAATTTAATGTGATCATTGAAACAAATGAAGATCCAATCAAATGAAACACAGAGAAGATTCCCTCTTCAGAAGAAATTCATGGCCACGAATAATGCTACCTCAACCTAATCATAGACCATTTCTCAACTTCTATATCTATTGTAAAAACAATCAAGATCTAAAGTTCATGTCCAGTTATGTAACCCTCATAGAAAGTTAAAAAAGAAATGCAATAAAAAAACATAAATTTAAGATAATCTAAGCCCAAATAGCTAAACTGCCGGTTCAAATTCAGCAAACAAGCAATTCAAATTTCAAATCTGATGAAAATGTTACCTCAACTGTTGTAAATTGGCTGGAAAGAACGAGTGCGAATGACCAAACTTTTCCAGGGGTATGATAATTCAACGGAGAATATGGAAATTTACCCAAGCAGGGTATTTGAAGGCATTAGAAGGAGGAAAGAGCGTCAGCTAATGCGTGGGCGAAGCATCTAGAGAAAATAAGCAAAAATGGCAAGACCAATGTTTTGAGAACAGGACCGGACAGCACTGGGTCAAGGGTTAACCGGTTGAACCGGGGTCAACTCGGGTCAACGACCGGTCAAATTATAATTAAAATACTAATATTTTATATTATATCATTAGATATTTTTAGTTAAAAAAGTATTTAACTTATATTTTTACTTCTCCATTTAGTTTTAATATTATTGTGCATATATTATTTCACAATTTCTATTTTTTTCGATTACTTTTATTATTATTAAAAATTAAAAGTGAATGTCTAACACACACTTAAATTATAAGGTAATACTCATATTTTTAAAAAATAAAGAATATATAATATGTTCTTATTTACTAGTTAGGTTTTACGGAATAAAATTTATTTTTTGTTGATTAAAATGATTGAAAATATAAAAAAGCAGCATATTAAATTATACGGAGTAATTAATAATTTAAAGATAAAGAATAATAGTATAATACATTAAGGATATATTATTTATAATTTTCTTAAGATAAAAAATAAATAATACTAAATATATTTAAGTTTGAACTACTTTAAAAATTTAACAATATAAATATATGGAGTATTATATAAACATAGTTCCTTTTTTTAAATAATTGGAAGTTTTTAAAAATTACTCTCTAAATAGTTTAAGAATCTAATATATACCACATTGCATGACATCGTAAACAAAAGCTGGAGTAGCTCATTTGGTTAAGAGCTTATCCGGTTCGCCGGTTCTTCCGGGTTTGAACGGGTCATTCCGGGTTTGAACGGGTCAAAGCTAAGGCGGTTTTTGATGTTGAACTGGACCGGATTGGTGTCCGGTTCGCGGTCCAATCGGTTGGACCGGCCGGTCCGGTCCGGATTTAATAACATTGGCCAAGACAGAGGCAAAATGTGTTTATTTTTTAGATGGGGAAAGACCACTAAAACATTGAAAATATATCAAAATATGACTTCATGTTTTTATTCCCGAAATAGGACTTACATTACCAAACATGGTCATATACATTACCAAAAAAGTATAGTAATTTGCACATGTACACTGCCACATTACCACAATGCAAAGTCACATTACCACAGTGCAAAATTCTATTCTAAGAAAAAAAACATAAAAGTCTTATTTTGGTACTTTTCTCTATGTTTTAGTCCTTTTTAGGATGATTTCTATTTTTAGATTAGTAGCCAAATGATATATGAATTCAAATTAATTTAAATACTACGGATTAAAATATTTTTTTAATGTTTAGTAACATCAAAATAGATCAAATTTGATATATTAAATATTAGAATTCCTTGAAATGAATGATTTTCATCTCCCAAATTTAAAAGATATCAATATGAATGTCAACCCTTAGTCATTGCCGGCCACCGACTACGATTTCACTGCCAACCATTCCTATTGCCAGCCATACTCATATATGACTAATTAAATCATAATTTTAAATTTCTCCAAATAGTTCCATTTCAAATTTCAAAAACTAATACTCCTTCCGTCCTTCCCTCTTTGTCCACTTTGCTTTTTGCACAAATACCAAGGAAAGGGAATTAAGTGAGAGAAATGACTCTAATACCCTTAACTTGTGGTCTTCATCATGACTGTCATTTCTCCATCTATTAGGCCTAAAACTGGCTCTTTTCCTTACCAATCTTGACTCATAGACAGCGACGGAAACACCCACAAGTGCTCCGACGAGGTAGTACCTGGACGGGAAAAAAGTCACAAATGCCTTTCAACCTTGTCGCCCCTTCAAATTGCAAGCTTTTGCCTACTTAATTTTTTGAAACCGAATTGTCTTGTTGACATTGCTCTGCCGCGGTGTCTTCTCGTAGTTGCTCCACTGCGGTGCCATCTCGTCGTTGATCCGTTACTGTGTTGTCTCGCTTTGCTCCGTTGCTGTGCTTTCTCGCTGTTGCATGTTGCTATGCTTCTCTATCATCTCTCTATTGCTTGTTTACCATGAATTTGATTCTGAGGAACTTGAGAGATCTGGAATATGAATTCTTGAAATTATCAATTTCAGCTAAAATTAATGATAGAAGGAATCGCGAGGGCACTCTCCGAAATCTTGCCGATGTATATCACGATGACGTAGCATCAGACAAACTGATTCTTGTTGGAGGTGATATATCCATGTCTGCAAAACAATGGAGTCAAAGCATTCTTTGATGGGTTCTTGGAGTTGTGGTGGGAATGGGTGGACGACATCCACTCAAAGATACTCCGTAAGAGATAAGGGAGAAAAGATTAGGAATAGAATTGAGTGGAGGTTAGAGTGGACAATTAGAGCATTTGAATGATACTCTGTCCCCCATAGATCTTTCCAATAGCCTTTTTTCTTTGTCCACAATAGATCTTCTCATTTCATGTTTTAACAATTAAAATACCACAACTATCCCCACTTACTTTATTTATTACACCTCACCCACTTCATTTAACACACTCCACCCATTTTCATTAAGGTTATTATGGTAAACTTTCATCTTTTTTCAACTCTCCTTAAAAACCACAAAAAGTCAAAATGAGAAGATCTTAGGGGGACGGAGGGAGTACTAAAAAAAGGCAAGTAAACAAAAACAAAGGGACAGCCAAAAAGGCAAGGTGGACAAAAACAGTGAAACGTAAGGAGTACTTTTGTGTCCCGTAATAATGTTTCACAATATTTTTTTATTCGTACCAATATAAAGTTTCGTTTTTCATAATAGACAAACTTTTGTGCTCATTTGATTTCTATCTCCTCCAAACTACTCTAAGCCACATAATTTTACTTTTCTTAATGTATGTAATTTAGCAATTATGAAACATTAATACTAGAAAGAAGAAATAATTAATTACTCTTAAGTCTATCATTCCAATTTTCTTGTCTATATATTGGTTCAGTTTTCTTCAAAATATTCAATCTATTCTCACTCGTAAATTTTTTTTCAAATCTGTGATTTTTTAAAATACTCACCTTGTCAAAAGTACTACGTAGAATAAAAATAATTCACACCAACACTCCGAGAATAAGTTGACTATAGAATTGATGGATATTGGGCTCTCAAAGTTTAAACCGAGTCCAATCACACTCTAGAAGTGCATACTTTATCCAAATGGAAAGAGACGAGCACGACGTTGAGTTAAGCCTAGTGGGCCTGTAGTCAAATTAGTGTTGGGCCAAAAATAGACTTATAAATACGAGATACAGGCGAAAATCTATTGTAAATGAAACCCTGAGCCCTGACTTAAAACTACGAACTTGCATACATCACTTGCCTATACTCATTTGGTCATACACATAATAGAGTTGTAATTTTTTTGAGATTGTCAATACTAGTAATTGCTATGAAAATGAAAGTATATTCATTTTAGTTGGTTCTGTTAAGATAATTATGTAAATAATTAGCTTAGTCAAAGTGTATATGTATTGTTACCTTGTTTATAGGATCAGTTTCCTAGTTTATTGCCTAAATGTATGCCAAGATTATTCCTTGTATATGGGTATAAATATCAATGAGCTATGAAGGAAAGATTCACGGAAAACATTCTTTTATGGTATCAGAGCAGGTCCGGTCCGGGTTTGATTGTTCCTGGTTGTTTGGATGTGGGTTTAGCAAAAATGAGCTACCCGTCTGTGGTTTGGGCTGAGTTGGCTAAAAAGAGATTGAGATGCCACCGCCCGTTGTGTGGGCTAGCTATAAGAGATTGAGATGCTAGACCCGTTTGTCCAAGTGCTAACTAGGCCAGGCTAGTTACCACTTGCGGGGGAGTGTTGAAGTTCCCACATCGGAAAATAAAGATAAGTATCACTTGCATATATTGAAGGGTGAAGCCCTACCTATCAGCTTAAGCTTTTGGGTTAGAATTGTGGATCCCGACTTTATTTGCAAGTGGTTAATTTTACCCGACACTCTATCCATTGTTCTTGGCCCGCCGAAATTTTAACATAAAAAATCTTATTCACCATATGCAGGCTGCCTCATCTCCGGGACCTCCCCCACCTCCTACTGCTGGGCCGAATGCACTCACCAGCCCAATACATTTCTCACCTCCCTCTTCTGGGCAGAATACAACACACAGCCCACCAACTCACCCTCCACAACCCACTGTGTCCATTCCTCCACAGCCCACCCCTCGCCCAACTATGGTCACACGTAGCCAACGTGGTATTTTCAAGCCAAATAAAAAATATTGCAATGTGGCTACAGTTTCTAAGGTTACGAAATCCCCTATTCCTCGTAACCCTATTGATGCTTTACGTGACCCTAATTGGAAAATGGCTATGGATGAAGAATTTAATGCTCTTATTAAAAATAAGACGTGGGAGTTGGTGCCCCGTCCGCCTAATGTTAATGTTATTCGTTCTATGTGGATTTTTACTCATAAGGTGAAATCAGACGGCTCTTTTGAGAGGTATAAAGCCCGTCTTGTAGGTGATGGCAAAACTCAAAAGGTGGGAATTGATTGTGGGGAAACTTTTAGTCTGGTGGTCAAGCCTGCGACTATTCGGACTGTTCTTAGCCTAGCTTTGTCAAAAGCTTGGCAAATTCATCAACTTGATGTTAAGAATGCATTTTTGCATGGTGAGCTTAATGAGACAGTGTATATGCATCAACCTGTTGGTTTTCGTGATCGCACTAATCCCGATTCTGTGTGTTTGTTGCGTAAGTCCTTATATGGGCTTAAGCAAGCACCCCGGGCATGGTACAAAAGGTTTGCTGATTATGTGTTGTCCATTGGTTTTGTTAACAGCAAGTCTGATAATTCTTTATTCATTTATCAGTCGGGGTCACAAACGACATATCTTTTATTGTATGTGGATGACATCATTTTAACAGCTTCATCTCCTGCTCTCCGGTGTTCTATTATGTCTCTTCTTGGCTCTGAATTTGCAATGAAGGATTTAGGTCCTTTAAATTATTTCCTTGGCATTGCCGTTACTCGACACAAAGGGGGTCTATTTCTTTCACAACGAAAGTATGCCCAGGATATCATTGACAGAGCAGGTATGACGGCTTGCAAACCATCAGCCACACCGGTTGATACTAAGCCGAAAGTGGGTTCGTCCGGCACTCCCTATGCTAACCCAACTAATTATCGCAGCTTGGCAGGGGCATTGCAATATCTAACATTCACGAGGCCAGACATTTCATACGCTGTTCAGCAGGTCTGTTTGCATATGCACGATCCCAAGGACTGTCATATGGCTGCTCTGAAGCGAATAGTTCGCTATGTTCAAGGTACTAAGGATCATGGGCTACACTTATATCCATCTTCTACCTTGTCCCTTATCTCCTACACCGATGCAGATTGGGGGGGTTGCCCTGATACAAGGCGTTCAACATCGGGATATTGTGTTTATCTTGGGGATAATTGGGTCTCGTGGTCATCAAAACGCCAACCAACACTCTCCAAGTCAAGTGCCGAAGCCGAGTATAGGGGAGTAGCAAATGTGGTATCCGAATCTTGCTGGCTTCGAAATTTGTTACTTGAATTACATTGTCCCCTAAGGAAAGCGAATTTAGTATATTGTGACAATGTAAGCGCCATATATCTCTCAGGTAATCCCGTTCATCATCAAAGAACCAAACACATCGAGATGGATATACTCTTTGTTAGGGAGAAAGTTGCGCGTGGTGATGTTCGGGTTCTCCATATTCCTACTCGACATCAAATTGCGGACATATTTACTAAGGGGCTTCCACGTATATTGTTTGCAGAGTTTAAGGATAGTCTCAGCATCCGTGGCCCTCCTGCTTTGACTACGGGGGTGTGTTAAGATAATTATGTAAATAATTAGCTTAGTCAGGGGCGGAGGAGAGGGGGGGGGCATGCCTGGGCAAGTGCCCCCCGGCGAAATTCCAGCGAAATGAGAATATGGTACCCAATCGGCGACGGGTGGCCGGATTTGCCCCCCCAGATTGTTGCAGCGTCGCCGGTCATGCTCTAGCCGTCCAGACGATCGAAGGAGATAAGAAGACGAAGCAGTTTCCGGAAAAGAAAAAAAGGAAGCAAAAACGATGTCGTTTTAATAATAGGTTTAAAATAATTTATTTGACCCCAATTGACCCTGCCATACCCTACGGCCTACTCGGCCCAACAGCCCAATTGTGAAAAAAAAAATAGAGGGGCGCAATTGGCAGTAGCAAAAACGGGCAAACGAAGATGTCTTCCAATTTTGAATTCTTCCAATTTTGAGTTTTTCTGTGCTTCTTCGTCCAATCTTCGGATCTTCTCTCATTGTCTAGGTATATGTAAATTTTAATTATCTAATTTTGAGATTTACGGAGTATTTCTTAATATTTGAAATTTTTTAATATTGCTAAATTATGTTTTAAATTTTGAATATTTATTTTGTTCAGTGGTTCTAGTGTATTTGTTGATATTTAAATATTTGATAAATGTTAATGTAATTTTAAGGTCTAGAGATTAAGAAATACGGAGTATGTAATTATTGTTTTAAGGTTATTGATGATGAAGTTATTATGTCACGCTCTCAAAAGTTGGCATCTCGAAAAAATTTTCTACGATCTCAAACAACTCTTACTCCTTTGCACAAATAGAATCTATGTTTAGTTGCGCTTTGCCAATTAAGATAGTTACTATTATAGTACTCCCTCCGTTCTTAAAAACTCTTCCTCTTTTATTTTTTTACTTCCAACAAAACACTTCAACTTTCTATTAAAAAAACCACTATTATCCTTACTTTTTCATACCCTACCTATGACATCATACTTTTTCTCTAATACTGAATCCATCATATCTTACTTTTATCCATCACATTAAGGGCAAAATTGGAAGTCAACTACAATTTAACGCTTCCTTATTTTTACACAAAGTCAAAATAAGAACACTTTTATAGAACGGAGGGAGTATTATGTATTTTGTTTATTTATTAAATGAATTTTTGCCCCCCATGAATTCTTCCCTGGCTCCGCCACTGAGCTTAGTCAAAGTGTATATGTATTGTTACCTTGTTTATAGGATCAATTTCCTAGTTTATTGCCTAAATGTATGCCAAGATTATTCCTTGTATACGGATATAAATATCAATGAGCTATGAAGGAAAGATTCACGGAAAACATTCTTTTAGGTTCAACAGAAAAAACAAGCGGGAGGTTTTGGAGAAACAAAAAAAATGAAATTCGTCTTGAAAAAGCATGTAGCCAGCGTGGGTAACGTAGTAATCAGTTCATCACACATGTCACAGGAAATACAAATCGGTTGGGGTTACCCCGTAAATGCTCACCGCCAAGTAACCACTCTCCTCTTTATTTTCCGCAAAAGTTGGCCACCCCAACCACCATCTCTGCCCGCCCATTTCCCCCACTTTCCTTCCCCGCCCGCAAGAACCTCTCCTTTCTCAACTGCTCCGTCTCCCCTTCTTCCTCATGCAGTCCTCCGGCGACGAGCTGCCGCCGTCTCTGGCCCAAACCCTCGACCGAATCAGCCTCCTCCTCTCCCAGCTTCTCCCCTCTTCGCTCTCCGTCAAGTCTTTCACCTCCCGCTGGCAAGTTCTCCGGTCAAAGCTTGCCGCGATCAAGTCTCTTGTCTCTGAGATTTCCAATTCTCCGCACTGGTCGGATAATGCCCTCCTCCCGATGCTTCTTCCCGATCTCCATTCCACTCTCGTCCGGGTACGAACTCTCTGTTTACAGTGCTCCGACCCTTCGTTTGTCCCCGGAAAGCTTCTGATGCAGTCGGACCTCGACATGGCCGCCGGTTGGTTATCCAGGCAGATTAACCAGCTCGATGTCCTCTGCCGCTCCGGCGTCCTCCACCAGTCCACCGCAATCGTCCTTTCCCACCCCTCCTCCGCCTCGACGCGGGAGGACTTAGTCCTGTTCATCCGGGACATCTTCACTCGCATCCAGATCGGCGGCGTCGAGTTCCAGAGGAAGGCATTGGAGTCGCTCGTCCAGCTTCTCACCGAGGAGGACAANAGTGCTCCGACCCTTCGTTTGTCCCCGGAAAGCTTCTGATGCAGTCGGACCTCGACATGGCCGCCGGTTGGTTATCCAGGCAGATTAACCAGCTCGATGTCCTCTGCCGCTCCGGCGTCCTCCACCAGTCCACCGCAATCGTCCTTTCCCACCCCTCCTCCGCCTCGACGCGGGAGGACTTAGTCCTGTTCATCCGGGACATCTTCACTCGCATCCAGATCGGCGGCGTCGAGTTCCAGAGGAAGGCATTGGAGTCGCTCGTCCAGCTTCTCACCGAGGAGGACAAGTCTGCGCCGCTGGTGGCCAAAGAGGGACACATCGCGTGTTTAATTAATCTTCTGGACCTCAACGCCGATCTCGCCACCCGCGAGCTGGCTGTCATCGCCGTCGCGGCGCTGGTTTCCGCCAGCTATCTGGCGAGTAAGTGCGTGTTTGAAGAGGGCGGGCTGGGGGCGCTACTAAAGGTGATCGAGTCTGGTTCGATCGCCGTGAAAGAGAAGGCCGCCATGGCTGTGGAATGCATCACGAGTGATCCCGAAAACGCCTGGGCGATCTCTGCATACGGCGGCGTCCCTGTCCTGGTCGATCTCTGTAAATCCGGATCAATTTCGGCCCAAATCCATGGAGTCGGGTCAATTCGGAACGTATCAATCAACGAAGACGTTCGGATCGCATTAGCAGAAGAAGGTGCGATTCCCGTTTTGCTTCAATTACTGCTCTCCTGCAATTCCTCCGCCGAAGAAAAGGCGGCGAACTGTCTGGCGATCATGGCTTCTTCCGGGAAATACCACCGCGATTTGTTACTAAAGGAAAATGCGCTACAGAGATTGCTTCAATTTCTGCTCCACGAATCTTCCAGCTCGAATTCATCGCACCATATTTTGCAGGCGATTCAATCACTCTCCGCTTACGATTCAGCATCAAAACAATATCTCTCTTCCTCCTCCGCTTTCATTACCAAACTAGCAGAGCTTTTGATGCACGGAAACACCATGACGCAGTACACCTGTGCTTCATTGCTCTCCGATTTGGAGATCAGAGAGAGCGACAAGAGGGCGATTTCCGGGTGTATGGGAAAACTGGTGAAATTAATGGCGTCGGCGAAGCCGGATGGGATGCAGGAGGCGGCCGGAAATGCATTGCTTTCCCTGTTGACTGTGAAGTCCAACCGGAGGGGTTTCGTGAGGGATGAGAAGAATTTGATGAAGCTCTCGCAGATGTTGGATCCGAAGAACGATTCGGTCTCGAAGAAGTTCCCGGTGGCGGTGGTGAGGGCAATCATGGCAGGATGGTGGAGTAAGGGCTGCCGTCGGCTGCTTGTGGCCGCCGGAGTTAATGTCCATTTGCAGAGTCTCTCCCAGATGCAGGTTGTTGGGGCCAAAAAGGCATTACAGAAACTCTCGGGGAGCCGGTTTAAAAACTTATTTACCTGCGCTTGGAAGCACGAATGATAGAGATTAATTAATAAATGGAGCCTAACTCAAGGAAGGTAATTACCTCCTCTATACCATTCTTCTCTTTTATTTTCACTTATTTACTCATGATTTTCCCAAATAAAGTTCCCTTTTCTTTTTTTAGATTTGTGGCTTTTTTTTCTAACATATTCCTATTCAGTACTTTGTAAATATGAATAGATATTATATTGTAATAAAATTAGTAGTGCTAAAAAACAATTACTCTATACATTATTTTTTTATAGTGTATTGGAAACAAGACAAATCAAATCATAGATTGAATTAAATATGACCATGTCGTTAATCTAGTTTTTATGCGGGATGTAGGTATTACCACCCTAATCCAAGCACTAATTTATATACTACCTCCGTCCTAAAATGATCTTCCCAGTTTGGCTTACGAGGTTAGACTGAAATTATTTTTAATTTAATTTATTTGATTATAGATGTAAAATTAAAAAATAAAAATTATATATTTTAAAACTATTTCAAAAGCTCTACAAAACAAAAAGTGACATGACTATATTATTTTATCAAATAACTACCAAAAATTAATTAAAGAAGTGATTAAAATTTGACCGAATAGTGACTAGGAATATCATTTTAAGACTGAGGCTATATATATATATATATATATATATATATATATATATATATATATATATATCTCCTAATCCCAGTTAACCCTTACATAGAGTCTCCACCCTAACACATCTTTCATCCACATCAATTGTGTAGATTTAGATGATTTTGAAATTAAAATTTTACATTTGGCAAGAGCTCCAATTAGATAACTATAAAGGATAAAGCTATTTGTACCCCATGTTTTTGTACCCCATTTTGTACCCCGCAAGTTTGTACCAACATTTTGTGTTGGTGTAAAACTAATTTTTGTTAACGCACCAACACTTGTGTCGTTGTAAACCATTAAAATGTTTGTGTAAAATTGCGGTGTACAAATGGGGTACAATTTGTGGTGTAAGTGTAGTATGACTCAACTATAAATAATGCAATTTACCTTTACTTGTAAGCACTCGCCACCAAATGCCACCCAAGCATCATGTTAGAGTATGGTAGGTGGATCATGAGGGAGGGCAAACAATCCCAATCCCCACACCACCAAATCTTTAAACATAAAGTAAAGCAGTTTGTACGGCCATTATTTTTACTCCACATGTAAAGGTGTATAACTAACTTACCCTTCACTTTCAAAAAAAAAAAAAAAAAAAAAACCTACCCTTCAGGTTGAAGGTGTGTCGAAGACTCGAAGTACTAAATTAGTGTCACATCTTTCTTTCTTTCTGGAGAAGCCTTTGAAAATGAATAATGGTTATAATTGTGTCAAGTCGAGATTATGGGTATGATGCATGTGGGTATATGAGTTTTTTTTTTTGGTTCAATGAGTATATGACTTTGGTGTCCCGCAAGCTTCAACGCAAATAAACTTTTTCTTAAATTTAGGGGTGAAAAAGTGTGAAAACTGTGAAAACTGAAAAATATCGTACAGAAAAAATATCGTTAAAATATCAAATCAAATGTTCGGATCGGTATTTGAAAACGGTACAAGGTAACTTCCATACCGAAAATCTTGAACCGAATATATATACTAACAAATTATATATATTTATAATAATTTTTTTATATTTATTCAATAAATAATTAGTTTATTTTTAAAATTTGGTTCAAATTATATTATTTGCACATTGTACTTTTATTTGAGTTTTAATTTTTTGTAGATGAATATAAAAATATTAACACACTTTTGAAATATCATTTTGTTATCATTCTTTCACTTTAGTTTATGAAATATAAACTAAGTTTCATAAGTATTTCTTACATTTAAATTTAATTTTTTTTAGTTTTTTGTGTTTTTTCTTAAATATACTTTTGATTTTTCAAAAAATAGGTTTTGTGACATTTTAAAATTTAAATTAGTTGTGTACGTATTTATCTCAATTTGTATCGAAATCGATATTGAACCAAAATTTCGGGATCGAAATCAGTATGACGTGAAATGTCATACCGAATCAAAATACTTGATACGTTATCGGTACGAGCTAAATAGCGTACCATACCATATCATGCTCACCTCTACCTAAATTATACGAGTATATCCAAAAATGATAACTCCCTGTTGAACACATATACTGCTTGTCTAATTTCTTGTACTTTTTCCCTTTTTGTTTATTAGTCCTTCCGGCTCAAAGTAAAACTCATGTTTGATGTTTAACTAAAATTATTCTCCAATCAATATAACTAAAAACTGGCATAAAATTAAGGAATAAAAATTATGTATTAAAAAATACATCACAACATCTATCAAACAAGTAGTGACAAGATTATTTTATTTTATCAAATGATTAATGAAAATGTATAATGAAAGTAGAATTAGTTCTACTCGTGAATAAGAACTATAAGTTTTATTTTGGCACGAAGAGAGTATAACCCTTGTGTGGCATTCTATTAATGCTTAATTTGGTATACTATTGTATTGAATGATTAATGAGAAATCCAAAGAAGATGAAGAATCAAAAGCAACAAAAAAAGTAATTGATCCAAAAGTTGCGAGAGCATTATAGAGGAGAAGTATATAAAGAAATGAAAAGATATGGATAGCTGACAAGAAAGGACCGTTGTCAAGAACTAACTACTAGCAAACTAACTACCAACAAACTAAAATGAAATGAAATAAAAAGATGTCAACTGATATCTCCACACCGGGATAAAGTTGGAGACTTGGAGCTGATTGAAGACCCAATTGGGCAGATAAGGTAGCATGATGTGAAGCACCTAGAGGCTTTGTAAGCAGTTTACAAGAAATCTTCCTGCACCTTATTCCGTGTGATGTGGCTATCAATATCAAAGTGCTTGGTTTGTTCATGATAACAAGGATTGCTAGCAATCTTTTTAGCAGCCTTGTTGTCAAAGAACATAGTAATGGGAAATATATTTTAATGTAAAGATCATGGAGTAAATAACTCAACCATAGAAGTTCAGAAGGGGTGACAACCATGTTTCTATACTCTACCTCAGTATGACCATGGAGGAAAGTGTTATTAACATAGAAGGGCCAATTAAAAGCAGCAACCAAAGCAATAATATCCAAACGGTGGGAAATTTGGCAACAGGTGAAAAGTTTTCCAAGCTTTTGATTATAACCTTTGATCACCAACTTGGCCTTTAATCTATCAACCGAATCATCTGTGTTGTATTTAATCTTGTACACCTATTTAGAAGCAATGGCTTTATGACTCTTTGGTAAAGAGATTAGTATCCAAGTGCAATTAGTCTCAAGAGCATTGAGCTCCTTAGCCATGACATTGACTCAACGTGGGTTTTGTTTAGCTTGAGCATAAGTGGTGGGTGCATGCATAGCTAATATATTAGTTAAGATATTGGTGACCCCAGGAGTGGAAGAAGATAAGGTGGTAATTAGATAAAAGTGGATGAGCAGTGAAAGAATAAGTTTAAGCTTTGTGGGGGAGAGTAGGACAAATATAGTATGAGAATTTGGCAAGTTTTTTAGCAAATTTTTATGGCTTGGAAGTGGATAATGGGGAAGGATCGTGTGAGATTAAGGGAAAATTTGGAACAAGAGGATTGATGATTGATAGCCCATTAAAAATGGTAGAATCGTTTAGGGCTTTTGATTCAAGTTGAGAAGTAAACATATTGTCTTTATCTACGGCTGGGGTAGAAAAACTCTAGGCTTGTATCTATGGACAAGGAATTAGATTTATACGGAAAGACATCTTCATGAAAATTCACATCCCTATTCAAGAAACTGGTTTGTTGTTGAGATCAAACAGCTTCTAACCATTTTGATCAACAAGGTAGCCTAGAAAATACATTTTCTTCCTCTAGGAGCAAATGAGTCATATGTATTATTAGATGTCACTTTGACATAACACGAACATCTAATAGTTTTTAGATGTTCATAATCAGGGGCATGACAAAGTAGGATTTCAAAAGGGGTTTTCCAGGATAATTTGGCATTTCAAGTTGTCACCCAAATTTGGCATTTCAAAAGGGGTTTTCGAGGATAATTTGGCATCTCAAAAGAGGTTTTCCAAGATGTCACCCAATTCTGGAACATTACGAGTGATGTTCCTTTGCATTTTAATTTGTTAGATTATGTAAAATGTTTTGCTAAGTGTAGGCAAAGATAGTGTGGATAGCATCTATCCACGAACTCCCTCATAATCATAATTAAGCTTTATTAAGAATTGCATCAATTTATTTCCATCTTCAATCATAATCCACTTTTTCAAGTACTCAGAATTACATTCCTTCATTTTGCCACACTCACATAAAAGAAATTCATTTAGTTTTTGCAAAGTCTAACAATATTTCTTAAGTTTTGTGAAATAGGCAGAAACATACATGCTTACTTGATGAATTTCATTGAGTTCCTTTTCTGTTTGGTATATAAGAGGAGCATTTGTGTGTCCGCACCTCTCACCAAGTTCTGACCATAGCTCTTCAGTTGCATTGACAATTTTGATATCATAGAACTGATTAGAAGGATTCAACACGTCACCAAATAATATGTTCTGATCTAGCGCTGATAATTTGTATCTGTAGCTCTAGGTTTAGCAGATGCCCCAGCGCCATGGTAATCGACTTTTTTCAAGCGAAAAAATTAGCTCCCATGAATTTGGGTGTGGTTAGGACTAATCTGGGATTTTCTAGCCCAGTGAGCCCATATGAATCGAGAACTGTGCTTCATTGTTCAATTCTGCCATTGATAACAACTAAGGCTTAATCACAACATGATAGTGAAGCTTCAAATGATCGAACAATTAATCGGTGAAGATCTTCTGGTGTAGAACCTCTGATACCATGAGAAATTCAAAAGAAGATGAAGAACAAAAAGTGGCAAAAAGGTTTATTGATCTGGAAGTTGTGAGAGCCTTATAGAGGAGAAGTATATAAAAAAATGAAAAGATAGGGACAATTGGAAAAAAAAGATAGCTGTCAAGAACTAACTACTAACAAACTAACAAATAAACCTATTACTAATAAATTAAAATCCAATAAAATAACAAGATGTCAATTGATATCTCTACAATTAACCAAAAGAGTTACACATGATGTGCATTTCTCCGGGCTCCCGTTGTCATTTTTTTCCAACTTCTATAAATTCCATTGTTAAAAAAATAACTTTACATTTTTTCACTCTACAAAAAAACTTCAAATTTTTTCAATGAAAATTACTCCCTAATATTTTTTAGTTAAAAAATCAAAGGTAAAATATTATTAACATTTTTTTTTGTTAAAATTGATACTTTTGACCTATAATTTTCAAACTTAATATTTTCAAAAATTTTATTAAAACTATTTTTTGTTAAAAACAATTATGAAACACTGTTAGCATAAAGATAGAATGAGCATTTTTTCCTATAAAAATTTAATTGAAATTATAAATAAAAAAATTAACCATGATTAAATGTATTAAATTAAAATTTGACAAATACTTAAGGGTGAAGTGAATATTATGATTATTATCAAATGCAATTTGGATGGATTGTATGAAAAAGAGAGAGTCTTTCACATTTAAACTTAGAAAGTAGTAAAAAAGAGAAACTAGACGTTGCAGCAACTAGTTGAGGAGAGGTGGTCGCGTAACACGCATGATGGCCTTCACCTCTATCACGGGGGAGGGGGGCAATGTTCACTCCCCCTTCCTATGGCCTTATGGAATATAATGTTAACATTTTTTGTTTTTAATAATGTGAAGCTTGTAAGTTATAACTGTTGATCCAAGATTTTCTCCACATATACTATCTTCCTTCTTAAATAAATTGTAACTAATCAAATTTCTGGCAATCAATGAGTATATGTTCGCGGTTTCGTTAAAATGTTCTATGAGTAATTTTGAATGGATATATAACACTACGGACATTTTTGAACTAATGGGTAGAAAATTGACAAATTTGTTCATTAATGAGTGGGAATTTGACAAAAATGTTCATTTTCATTACCCCTATATTACAAACATTTATAACATTGTTGTCATTTAGTTTTAATTCAGTTCAACATTAATAAAAAAAATCAGGGCATATGAAATTATTTGAGATTAAGTTCGTTTAAATACTTTAAAGTTTAAATAGTTAAATTTACGAAGTAGCCAAAGAAAAAGTAATTATACTTACCAAAAAATGTACATATATACAACTCACTATTACAGACTATAATTATGATAAATGCTTCGCTATGATTTTTGTTTGATTTTGCAACCAGAGTTGTTGTTCTTGAACCAAGTTTCTCGGGCTCAAGTTTGACCCGAAAGGGTCATTCTCGTCATTTTGCATAATCGTCGCGGTCTCTGTCGCCATCGGACTTATTACAGAAAATGTGGGCGGCGTTGCACGGAATGTAGGCGCCGGCGAACTCAGGTAATTCTTGCCTGAAGACGACGCCGGATTTGATGATGATGAGCCTTTATGCGGCGATTCTTGGAACGCCGGAACCAGGGCAAACATGTCCGGCGACTGGAATAATGCTCCGTGTGCGGGTAGAAACGAGGTCGCCGGAAGAATTTCATCTTGAAGGAAAGGATTATAGTAGTGGTGGTGAGGAGGCGGCAATGACGACGTTACCGGACAAAACAAACTTTCAAAATTATTCCCAGATGTCGGCACCGCCGCTTGCGGCGGCGTTTCAAATAACACGAGCTCCCATCCGGTGGTTGCATCGTTCTGCTGGGGATTTGTCGCCGGAGTCCCAGGCGCCGCCTCCGCCGTGCCTTCCGCAACTCGGTTTTCCCCATCCTCGTTCCAATCGTCCAACGACAGAAGATCGGCGTACGAATTCGACGCAGGCAGGGACTTGGTCGATCCCGATTCGCTCAGCTTGAAATTACTATCGTCTCTTTGGGAATAAGCCTCCAAGTCAATCGAAATCGCCGGATTCTTCCCGGCGGTAGTTAGCGTGGCGCTGAGAAGATCCTCTAGAGATGTGGCAACAGACCCTGTTTCCGACGACCCGTCCGTCGTGGTAGAGAATTCGGATTGGCCGGTGTAGCCACCGCGGATATTGGTTTGTTTTGGGAGGGGAGGAAACGACGACATTTGGGTCGTCGGGGAAGACGATCGATCTCTTAGATACTCTTCGAAAGATTCAATCATCTCATCGGAGAATCTCTGAATGCAGGGATACTCCGACGTTCTCCCGATTCCCAAGCTTTTACAGATCCCGTAAAATTCAGCGAGCTCCTCCCATTGCCGGACGGCTCTCAGGCACGTCTGGAAAGCGATCACGCCGGATTGATGCTCTAGTTGGAAGAATCCGTCCACGATAACGGCGAGCCCGTCGGTGATGTCTCTATAGAGATTGAAACTCTCTTCTACCACCGCGTAAAGGGCGATCTGCACCAAGCGGTTAGCCTTGGCGGGCCCTGTCGGCCTGGTGGCGATCGCCCTTTCCAGCAACCTCTGCCAGTGCCCGATTCTGTCGAGCAGCATGGCAAGTTTCATTTCACAAACGGGCTCGTCGGGCCTTCGCCCGCGGAGGCCCAACGAACTCTGCGTGAATCTCCACTGGAGTTTCCCCGTGAGGAAACAATCCAACCGCTCGTCAAGGTACAACGCGAACGTCCTCACAAACGCCGTAAAATCCCACGGGCTCGAGGTCGAGGCGTCGCGGAAGCCCGACAAGTTCAGGATCCGGGCCCCACGTTTCATGGCGTGAAGCACTTCTCTGGGGAAATAAGGATCTCCGTCCTGGAAAATCCTGAGAACCAGGATCAAAGACTTTAAGGTGACAATCCAGTTTCGCGTGCGGCCAATGCGCTTGCCGATGGCACGCGCACAGGCCGCCGCGTAAGCCTTGTCGGCAGAGACGAGGTGGAGGAGCTCGCGGACGTAGCGGGTGTCCACGGGGTCGTCGTCGTGGGTGGTGGCCTTGAGGACGGCGACTTCAAGGTTGGAGGATGAGGAGTTGTTGCTTGCAACCTTTGCAATGCTAATGCTTGTTTGGTCCTTCACTGCACCAATAGCCTTCTTCAACTTGCTTGGCATTATTTATGTCTTACCTCACAAACAAGGCTGTTTCTTCACAATTTGGCTAAGATCTGTTCTTGGTGGATAAGGGAAAGGGAGATTGAGGGTGAAAATCTTGCTTTGGAGGTTATTTTCTTTTTTTTCATGTTTTTTTTTTTAAAATTTTTAGGTTAATTTAATTTGGGTTTTTTCTCCTTCATGAAAATGAGTGAACATCCTAGAGTATCGCCAATAGATATAACCAACAAACAAAATCCTAAATACTCTTACGGTTTGACCATTTATAATTTGGAAGGACAATGTGATCTCAATTTTCAAACAATAAAAAGCATCGATTTATAGGAAAACAATCAAAATTCACAAGACCAAACAGCTCTCAGCACAAGCCTAAAAATAAAGTTTAGAATCAAGTGCAAATTTGGTAACAAAAGAATTTGAAATTGACTCCTTTCATCTTTGAGTATTTTGAGTTTCTCATAAGAGATTCATAGAAACACCTGAAAGAATTGGTAACAATACTACTATATAACTTGTTAGTGGTTGATTACTTTTCTGAGAATAAAGATCACGAGTAACAAATATTTGCTAGGCCTTTTTTCTATTCTTGAATTTGTTCAAATATATGTATGAATGAATGGGCCAGTTGGAGGTCTTCTCTTGGAAACCAAAAGTTGATCCTTTGTCATTTAAATGTCACCTAGTCCCTTTCACCTTCATCGCTCACAAACTCAAAATTCCGAGTCCACAAATCATGCCTCATCCCTACACCTCTTTTGAAACTTTGAGGTCAGGTCTCTATCAGATGTGGTTGAAGGACTAGGAAATTGAGCCCATCAATTTACGTCTAGGGGAAACGCTTGGTTCACAAAGTCAAACTTCACAAACTTACCATATGTGAACTTCAATAAAGAAAATTAAATAGTCTAAAATAATTTTAAAATGAGAATTTAAACCATAAATAGTAAGTTTGTGAAGTTTGTGATCCTTCTTTTTGTGAACGTAGCATTGCCCTTGAAGAAGAATTATTTTCATTGATTAAATTGTGAGGAGAGTACATGTATATATACAAGAGTCTCAATCCTAATTAAGGTAGGAGAGACAATCTAGGAAACATATACAAATATGGTAACAATAATAATACAATAATATTAAATATATTATATATATTTAACATGCTCCCGGCTACGTCGGCAGTGCTGGGGTCGGATACCCAGGCTTTCTCTGAAGTCAAGAAATAATTGTGAGGGCAGTCCCTTTGTGAAGATATCAGCAAACTGAGAAGATGACGGAACATGCAGGACTTTGATCTGACCGAGCGCCACCTTATCACGCACAAAGTGTATGTCAACCTCGACGTGCTTGGTGCGCTGATGCTGCACCGGGTTTGACGAAAGGTAGACCGCACTGACATTATCACAAAAGACAAGTGTGGCGCGACGGAGTGGCTGCTGGAGCTCAAGGAGAAGGTTTCGGATCCAGCTGGTTTCAGCAACAGCATTCGCTACAGCCCGGTATTCCGCCTCGGCGCTGGAGCGAGAAGTAGTGGCCTGGCGCTTAGACGACCATGAGACAAGGTTGTCGCCGAGGAAAACGCAGTAGCCCGAAGTAGAACGTCTGGTATCAGGACAGCCAGCCCAATCAGCGTCTGAATAAGCCTGTAGGTATTCGGTGGCGGATCTTGTCAAGTAAATGCCATGAGTGGCAGTGCCACTGAGATACCGGAGAACACGCTTCATGGCTGTAAAGTGGGCGTCGTGCGGGGCATGGAGGTGTAGGCAGAGCTGCTGGACTGCATATGTGATGTCAGGACAAGTGAATGTGAGGTACTGCAGCGCGCCAACAATGGATCGGTAGAGGGAGGGGTCGGAGAGCGCCGTGCCAGCTGACGCAGACAGCTTTGCCTTTGTATCCACCGGGGTTGAGATGGGCCGACAAGAAACCATCCCTGCCCTCTCAAGGATGTCGTGCGCGAACTGAGTCTGGTGGAGGAAGAGGCCAGAAGCTGTGCGGTGAACATTAATCCCGAGGAAAAAGTGCAGATCGCCCATATCTGTCATGGAGAACTCAACCTTGAGCTGCTGAATGAGACTCTGTAGTAGTGCTGGCGAGGATGCTGTGAGAACTATATCATCCACATAAAGTAGTAGATAGGCCGTGCCCATGGGCTGAGAGAAGACAAATAGAGAAGTGTCGGCCTTACATCCTCGAAACCCAATAGTCTATATGAATCCAGCAAACCTGTGAAACCATGATCGGGGTGCTTGCTTGAGACCATATAGAGCCTTCTTGAGCTTGCACACATAGTGAGGGCGAGTGAGATCCTGAAACCCAGAAGGCTGACAGGCATAGACGGTCTCCTGCAGCTGGCCATGAAGGAACGCATTCTTGACATCAAGCTGATGAATGGGCCAACCTCGAGACAGAGCAAGACTGAGGACAACACGAACAGTGGCAGGCTTGACAACGGGGCTGAAAGTCTCGTCATAATCAACGCCAAAACGTTGGTTGAAACCACGAACCACCCAGCGGGCCTTGTACCTGGATAACTCACCGGTTGGGCCAAATTTATGTCTAAAGAGCCATTTACCGGTGATGAGGTTTTGTGAGGGGGAGGGGGGTACTAATTCCCATGTGTCATTCTTTATCAAGGCATTATATTCATCACACATAGCAGCATG